CAACCATCTAGCAACACTTAAACACCTTGGATACCATTGCAACCTCCTAGCAACCGCCTGGGATGCCATAACATCAGTCTAGCAACCACCTGAGATACCACAGAAACCGCCTAGCAGCCCCCTAGCAACCACCTCAGATGCCATGGCAACAACCTAGCAACGCTTTAGCAACCACCTGGGATGCAATAGCAATTGCCTAGCCCACCTTGGATACGCCAAACGCCTAGCAGCACCCCGCAACACCTCAGCAACCACCTGGAATTTCACAGCAACTACCCACACATCAACACCCTAGCAACTATGTAAAATACCATAGCAACCACCTGGCAACACCATAGCAACCATTCTCAAATCGCTTAAGCTGCATAATCATTGCATTTTCTTCAGGAAATACATTATTCTAGTTTAATATAAAGATTTACACATCAACAAAAAATATGCAGCGATACAGAAATGTTGATCGGCTGTTATGAAACATAAAAAAACAATCAAAATAAACTGCTGTAGCATAAAATAAAAAAAGGGAAAGAAACGTTGATGTTTCTTCAGTAATGCTATTCCTGAAGTCCTCTGCACGTTTCCTTACATCACTATTACACCCCAGTGAAAACGGCCAGTTTACATTTATAACTTAATATGGTTATTGTTTTAAAATGGAGCAGATGCACACCCGCCCCCCTCTCCCGCTCCCCCCCCGCCTCCCTCTCTCTCTCTCACACACTCTCTCTCTCTCTCTCTCTCTCTCTCTCTCTCCTCCTCTCTCTCCCTCCCTCCCTCCCTCCCTCCCTGGCCCGTCTATGGGATGAGGAAGAATTTCGAGCAGTTTCAAGCCCAGTACTAATGTTTATTAGTTAAAACCAAAGATATGCTGCAGTTCTATATTCTCTATATCTAGGACAGTTTCCAGATGAGCCAGGCTGTGTCAACCATAGACAGAATATTAGACAACACATTTTGACCCCAATCAGAGTTATAAAACTTAAAAATGTTTGTCTCTACATCCCCCTTGCTGATAGACGGTTACACCCGGAGAGCTGATGGTGATTAAAGGAACAGTACAGCTTAAGGTCCTGAGGTCTCTGTAGCGCAGGCTGAGTGAGCGTTAAGGGGGCATTAATTAATGAGAATCTTTTTCAAGGCACTTCAGACATCATAGAGGTGCTGGTGGAAACCTCCGCATAGCAATGCACTGATTAAAGGAGGAGGGCCACCGCGTGAACGCTCGGCTAGCTGCATCAATTAAGCGAATAATTAAAGAAATAAGTACTTGCTCTGTCATTCTCTACAACCAGGTGGACTAAGAACTTGAAAGAGTGCTTCACTCTGAAAATGTGGCTGTGTAATCTTATTTACTGCTTCTAATAGCTTTTGTTCAATATTCGCACATTTAGCACTTCTGAGAGATGCTTCTCCTCAAGAGGAGCAGATGCAAAGGTTAGATCACTTGAATGAAAGAAAGCACCTGCACATCCCAGACGATTACTGTGCATAAATAGAAGTGTGTAGAATCAGTGTTATCAATTATATAAATACTGTTTGGCTGTAGATATTTAAAATATAAAAAATGGGAATTATCCCAAAAAATACCAAGTAGATAATTACAGTATATTATTTGGCAATTAATAACCTCCAAAATACTGACTGCTAACTATGACTCTACAATAGTGCTGATTTCTGCTGTCACCCCTGTGGGATTCTAGTAGTATGTTAGTACTAAAGCCTTGGGTTCACTACACAACTTTTAAAGTCTTACCAGATTATAACAGACTGGGCGTCTCACACTGTATGAGTGGGGTTTTTTTTGCAGATTTTTTGGGCGACTGAAATATTGGGGATCACACACTACTCAACTTTTAAGCTGCAGCTGAAGCGAATGGAGCTCACTCACTCGCAAACTCGCGCTCTCGCATTCTCCCGTTACTAGGAGACCCAAATAAACAAACGTGGAGCTGCTGCTGCTGTTTTCTCTGCCATTTGCACCGACACAGTATAGAAGCAGCAGGTAAACGTGTTTAAGTGAGGATCATGGCTTTAAAAATGTGATCAGTTTGGGATTTTTAGAGTTTTAACTTTATACAAACTTGATTGTGCCTTAAACTCAAATTAAAAAGCTTCGCTCCACACGTGAGAGACTTTTCACCATTTTTCTTTGTTTACTTGCTGTATTTTCTTCTTTCTCGCTCTCTGTTTTTATTGGCTGTTGCAGGAGTCCGTTCAGATTGAGTCACTGATCAGTTTACATTAGATTTCGCTCAGTCGGGTCAAAAAAATCAAACGTTTGATAAACAGACTGGTCTGAAACACATTCGGGAGGCCAAAATCTGAGTCTACGACTCAATTCTCTCTCCAACTGTCGACTCTGACCGACGCAAAAATCTGCAGACTAGAGCCGACCAGCTCAGACTCAGCCAGACTGAGAATCTGGGCTGAAATCAGGGTAAAAGTCATGCAGTGTAACCCCAAAGCTCACGTCAGTGCACATTTTTTGGCCATTCTAGGTTAATTAAGCAATAGAACGCGAGAGGGAGTGTGTTATTGCGAAATAACATCACGGCTGTGATTTGGTGGCCGTAGATCATCACAGCCGTGATGTTATTGGCGATAACACACTCCTCGAGTGTTCTATTGCTTTAATACAACAGTTAAATAAATAAAGTAATAAATTAATAAACTGGGCTGTGAACGCGGCGTTTAATATGTTTTAATGTTCGCAGTTCCTTCACCAAATTATAGTTCCTTAACGAGCAGCTTGTTGCTACGTCAGAGTAACGAGCTCCGCCCACTCGCTGCACAGCCGGCAGTTCGTTCTCCAGCTCCTCACACTAAATTCCCAAACTGTCATCACCACTGAGCAGCTTTTTTCTGTTTTATTGCGGCAGTTTTATGGCTCAGTCTGATTTGGTCAGACTCTGAAGATCAGACTACACGTTTGGCGAATGGTGTTGGGTTCATTTCTGGCTGATTCCAGGTTGTTTAGCTGTTCTTCTGTCTCAGCTGCCGACTGAAAAGCTGCTCAGTGGTGATGACAGTTTGGGAATTTAGTGTCGTCTCATCTTCAGAGTCTGACCAAATCGGCTGTCGGTCAAATGTGATCTTAAAAGTGTCCATTTTCTGTTTGTGGCAAAGTAAGAAGTAAAAACGTTCAAATGTTCTTGAGCGTCTCCTACAGCTGACAAAGTCGTTGCTTAGCAACGGCGTCTCAGCGGAGTGATACAGTGTTTGTGAAAAAAACATGATGTTATGGTGAAATAACAGCACAGTTAGAACACTTCTCAACCAATCAGCTTGTGTGGCCGAAACTAACTGTTGTATAAATGTTTTATCTGAAGCTTAACAGTAACAGACATGATCATATATCTGAGCTTGTTTGTGTCAGTTTTACAGCGACTCAGTAGTGCCCTGGCATACACACTTAAAAAAGATGGTTCTTTATAAAGGAAACAACACTCAGAGAACTATTTGCATAAAGGGTTCTTTGCTTTGTTAAAGGGTTTCTCAAACTGATAGCTATCGTGATTTATATGGTAGTATATGGAACCTTTTTGAAAAGAGTTCTGCATAGCACCAAAAGGGTTCTTCTGTTGTTCAAGGCTTGACATCGTAACAACAGAAGAACCATTTTTGGTGCTACATAGAATCCTTTTAAAAAAGGTTCTGTATAGAACCATCAGCACATTCTCCATCAATCCAAAGAACCATTTTACCATGCAAAGACCTTTTAATCATGCCAAGGGTTCTTTGAGTTTTCATGGTCCTACATAGAACTGTTGTCTTTACTAAACAACCCTCGAAGAATCGTCATTTTAAGAGTGTAGCGCTGTCGCCGCTGTTTTCCATTTCTAACAACTAATCCAAACCCGTTTACGCTACAGCTCATATTCACAGTCAGTGACGTATCTAGAACTTCCAGAAGAACTAGATTGACATTTTTTCTCAAAACATTGAAAATCAGAGCGTGACTGGTTGATTCCTTTGTCACTTCCTAATTATGTTGGTAGTTAATCTAACGTGTAAGGCCTTCAGTGCAGCTCCTGAACTGCTGAACAATGGGAGAGCAGCTCAGCTGCATCTACCTTGATACCACAGAGAGAACAATCCTGACTGGATAATTCCGTGTTGGGCCTTTTAAGATTTTTACCCTTTTGTTTTTAACTAAAAATGACAATAAAATAAGAGTATGAACTGTAAATAAAAGTTTGATGATTATTTTTTTAAAAAATAGTTTAACCTTTAAACCAACATTGTATATCATTGGCTGTTAACATAAAAAAAATTGCCAATCCGATTATAGATGAAGGCTAAGGTGTTTATATTCTCACTCTATTCAACACTCTGATGAAAATCTTAGTTTACATGCTCACTACAGTAATCAGATCCAAAATTACACACATGCGTAGAGAACCGCTTAGTATAGACGTTACCATGACAACAAGCATCACGTGAGTCCAGTCAGAGTGAGATGAGCAGCAGTGAGCAGTGCTTGTGTTTTTAATTACTTTAAAATGATGTCAGACTCAGGAAAACGTCCTTCACATGTCCTTATTAAAGAAGGCCGAGAGGAAGACGTCGTGTTCTGAGACACATAAGCTGGACGTCCGTCCCACCGCCGTCTTTTAAAGATCAGAGCATAAACTTCGTCTCCTCTGCAGACCAGTTTCTGCTCCGCCATGTTGAACGGTATAAACTCTCACTATGACGCGACGAACATGATCAGAACGGACTTAAACTTTCCGATAGGGAATGTAATCAGATACAGGCGTTTACACGGATATTATTCTTCTATTTAACGGATTATTTACAGGATTACCCACCTCGACCAGTCGGATAGAAACTGTATTCCGAATGGCCTCAATCAGACTAGACTATTCAGATTGAGGTGTTTAGATGGACGTATTCTATTCTGAACGAGCTTTTAGAAGGATTATTAACAGATTATCAGGCTGCATGTAAACGTGGCCACTGTTGTATAAAAAAATTGACAAAGTTGAACCCAAACTCACATGTTTGAAGTTGCGGAAGGGCACGAACTGAACAATGTCCCTCAGGACCGGCTCTCCTTTCGGCGAGCGGAGGATTCCATCATCTCCGTCCAGAGTCTGCATGTCAGTAAAGTCAGCGTTTCCCACACCAACAATGATGATGGACATGGGCAGGTGGGAGGCGTGAACAATGGCCTCTCGAGTGTCCGCCATGTCCGTAATCACACCGTCCGTCAGGATCAGGAGGATGAAGTACTGCTGCAGAAAGAGAGAGAGAGAGAGAGTGTCAGAGACAGAGAGGTGTCAGAGACAGAGAGGTGGAGAGATGGAAGGATGTGAACAACAAGTATGTATTCACATCCTAAATCTGATTATTTTTACATATATAAAAAGAGGAAACATATTGCTTTGTAATAATAAATAACATCAGTCTTGTTAAAATTAACACTTCTTTTTAAACTGTAAAAATGATCTTGTTGTGGTCAGTTCAGTCTGCAGCACCCCCTGTGGTTCAATTTTGCTACAGCCACACATGGTGATACCAAATGCAGATCAGTCTAAAAATGTTTCCGCCTCCTGATGACTCCCAGCTCACGCTACACTGAACAAATAAGTCTGAAATATCAGAAGAACAAAGGCTTTGTTCACACTGTGTGTCAGTGTGAACAGCAAAAATGCACTGAATCCAGCCTTTTTTAATGCTGGTTTGAGACACTTTCATATGTGGTACTGGAATCCGATACGTATCCGATATGTGGCAGTGCGGCTCAGTCTGAACAGCCAGATTGGAATTCATGTGACTTTTACGCCAATCCAGCTCCACATTCATAATCATTTTGCGCTGCTGAGACGTCATAAACATCTGGGCTGATGTTTCTGTACCAAAAATGAAAAGAAATCCTCCGTGCTTGGAGAGATTCCTAAAGAACTGTCCGAACGCGGCCGCAGGAGAACGAGGCTGCAGCATCAAAGAACAGTTAAAAGTCTGAAAGCAGAGTTTAAAGAATCCGAGGACGCGAACCAAAGAAGTGACCGCGCCCTTTTTACGGCTCGAACACATCCTGGGTGATGAGCCCAGCTGTCAGTCAGTGAAGCTTCATGATGGCTCCTGTGATGCTGGTGAAGATGAAGCTGATCCTCCGGGAGCGACTGGCGTTCGCTGGTGGTTATGATTGTTTACCTCTGGATGAGCCGTGAAGCAGCGTGAAGATTGTTCATTTGCTCATGCGGGTCAGTTTAGGAGCTGATCTGTTCAGACTAACGTCGCATACAGACCACATTTAAAAGACATTGTGAACAGCCAAACAAAAAAAGACGGATTTGATGAGAAAATCAGATTTGGGCCACTTTTACCTGCTGTGTGAACATGTACAGTAATCAGCTACAATAATCTGCTATATTAAATTTTATGTTAGCGCCAAGGTAATGACGGTAAACGTTCCCACACTGGGTTTAATGTTCACCTACTCAGTTCATGTTTTCATTCTGGCAAGTTTTGCTCTCTCTCCTTCTCACTGTTGAAGTTTTTGTATAACACTGTAATCATGATCAGCTACGCTTGGGTCACACTGAAGTTAAGGTGGCCTCATAGCGCCCACCCTCTTCCACTGTGAAACGTTCCAAAGTATTGCTCCCATTTTTGTGCATTTTCCAGAGCTAAACTGGGGTGGAATCATCTGAAGCTGGGAGGTAATGTTACTCTTTAAACATCCACGTTTTTAAAACAAATAATATTTTGAAATACGATTAAATATACAGGGTGATTCAACACTTTCTGCTCAGGGGTCTCATCTCCTCTCAGACTGAAGGGAGCCATCTTCTGGTGACAGTCAGAAACTGTATGACCCCCCCTTTCAATTGGATTGTGATTGGTTCCTAGGTACCTCACGGTTGTAAAAATATGGTGCTTTGAAATCTTTTTTTGATGAATCTTTTTGAATCGCCCTGTATATAGTTGTGGATCAAATGTGCAGAAAGAAGGCTGCAGTATTTGTGAAGAGAAGGAGAGAACGATGCTCCTCACCATGGCCTCCCTGGTGTGCACCTCTTCAGAAGCAGAGTTGGCCACTTTCTGGATGATGGGAGCAATGTTGGTGGGGCCGTACAGCTGGATTTTAGGAAGGCAGTTTTGGTAAGCCTCCACCACACCCTGGATCCCTGAATACAACAGAACAGTCAGTAGTCAGACCCAATCCAGTTTCACCCCTTACCCCTACAAGTTTTGCGCTGCACCTGCAAGAGGTAGAATCTTTCTGGTGACACCACCACCCAGCCTCGTTAGGACTGTTCCATTTGTGTGATCAATAGACTACTAAGGAGAAATCTTCATAGGCCAGTCCTACCAAGGACCCGTACTACCTCGGCTGCAGCCTAGGCTTTGTAACGCAGCTACTATGTGGTTAGACTCTCACGTGATGCTTTATCTGTTTTGTATGGTTGTTTATAGCGTCAAATGAATCATAAATCAGAATAACTGCTCATACTCCACTACTCAAAGTCTGGTCACGATTACTGTTATCTAGTATGTCTCAAAACAAAGAGAAAAAGCAGAAATAGAAAAACAAATACAAGCATGACAATAATTGGCCAGTTTATGGGGGACCAGTATTGCACCAGAGTTCCTGTATCACAGCCTTAAACATCCAAAATAGCCTCAAACCTGTAGGTTATATGGGTTGACCATGGGCTATGGATTGTTAACTATAGTAGCTAGATGATGAGCACTTGCAATAAAACATTCCCAGCAGCTCATATTAAACGCAGCACTGTAATTTCATTTTTAAAACAAAGTAGTAGTATTACTGAGTACAGAGGAAAAAAGATCACACAAAAATATGGTGAGTGTGCTGAGAGTCGCCCTGTAAATCCTGAAATAATTAACTGATGAAGATATGATGACAACAGTAGATAATTCACTCTTAGATAATTCAGTTCTTCGGGTCCGAAGCTGACTACATTAGCTGACTACGCTACAAAGCATCAGAAATTACTTCACAGCGCTAGTAGGTCGCATGTGAAATGTATTTGTTGAATCTTTTTTTGTTAATAAGTTGTGATTCATTTCGTTCTTAGCACTTAAAATCATTTTTGACCACTGCAAACAATTTACTCTTCCTTTATTTCTTTCTATAGTCCATACAGTTGTAGCAGGAGCAAATTGCTGTTGTCGGAAGAAAACCTCGTATCCCCAAAATGAGAACTTTACAGGAAAAGGAAAAAAACTATTTTACTTTTAATGTAAGTCAATGAAACCAGACTTTTTTCCAAGTCATTCTGGGCCATTTGGCCCATTCTTCTTGAAATTTATATACAGTGTAAGGGGCAAAAGACATTTTCATATTATGTCAAACACTGGAAAAAAAACGACTAAAAACAGATACAAGAGAAACAATGCATTGTGAAAATTAATGAATGTTTCCTCCACTAATACAACTGTCAGCGACAGCCCCCTATAGAATCTAGAGGACTAGCCTTTGTGCACTAAACCCCTCAGTGATCTTTAGAGTGTTTGTTACCCTCCCTTTAACATTTAAAGGGGAGGAGTGTGGGGTCAGTAAAGTGTGGCTATCATCAGTGGAGGAGACGGTGCGGCTCTAATGCTGTTTACTGCCTCGGTGGACGTATTCTCTGTAGGTCAGTCTGCACTGCCCGGCGCCTCTGAGTGTTTCAGCTAATTAACACGCAGCACCCTGAAGCTCACGCGTCCACACACAGCCTGAGGGTCTCTGAGGGGCATGCATGCACCGCTGTGCTGTGAAGGAATTAAGATGAGAGGAACACGAAGTGGAGGTCAGTGACTGTAATTGCCCCAGTGTCCTTTTCACTAAACACAATCAAACAGGTGCCTCTGAGGTCTCTATATGTGTTCTACACATACAGAAACACTGATGAACACAGACGATGTGTTATCGTTATAATTTACATCACAGTGTTATGTAGAAGTGCTGTTATTGTAGTGTTAATTTACTTGAGTAATTTCCTTTATTAATACTTTTACTTGTACTCAAGTAAGAGTAAATATGTTGTTTATTGGAAAACTACTAAAGCCAAACATTACATGGTGGCAAAAAGGTTTTGAGCCCTGAGTCTGATCACATTGTGCTCTGCTAGTGCACATTTACATCCTTCTGTGTAGACTGACAGAGAGGGAGAGCCGGGCTGCGTTCTGTGATGAGCTGACAGTAAACGTCTGATGATGTATCATCTGTAAGGTGAAACTGAGGAGTAAGTGAATCTTCGCTAATGCCTTTTTAAGTAAATTACAATGCAGATGCAGAAACACAAGTTTTTTTCCCCCGAATATTACAGCACAACACTCTTTAAAGTGTGAATGACACTCTCTTAGACTCTCACGTGATGCTTTATCTGTTTTGTATGGTTGTTTATAATGAATCATAAATCAGAATAACTGCTCATACTCCACTACTCAAAGTCTGGTCACGATTACTGTTATCTAGTATGTCTCAAAACAAAGAGAAAAAGCAGAAATAGAAAAACAAATACAAGCATGACAATAATTGGCCAGTTTATGGGGGACCAGTATTGCACCAGAGTTCCTGTATCACAGCCTTATACATCCAAAATAGCCTCAAACCTGTAGGTTATATGGGTTGACCATGGGCTATGGATTGTTAACTATAGTAGCTAGATGATGAGCACTTGCAATAAAACATTCCCCGCAGCTCATATTAAACGCAGCACTGTAATTTCATTTTTAAAACAAAGTAGTATTACTGAGTACAGAGGAAAAAAAAGATCACACAAAAATATGGTGAGTGTGCTGAGAGTCGCCCTGTAAATCCTGAAATGATTAACTGATGAAGATATGATGACAACAGTAGATAATTCACTCTTAGATAATTCAGTTCTTCGGGTCCGAAGCACAACCGATGTTACAGAATATTCAGTTCTTCCGCATGTTGCGTGCAATAACATATTTCCACAGAGGTCTCCACGTCCCCAAAACTTGCATGGTGTTACTATGAATGGAAAGATATAGCCTGAGGAGTCAGAAGTGCACAGGTGAACATACGTTTTTCAGTCTGCTTTTGAAAATGCCTTTGAGAGTCTGTGCACAGTTAGGCCCAATCCCATTGCACCCCTCGCCCGTATCACTCATCCCTCAGAGTTTTATCTGAAATGGAGCAGTGGCTACATTCTGGCACTTCAGGCGCCAGAACTGCTGGACTATTTAAGGTGGAACAGGAAATTTAGCTAGCTAGGTACTGAGACGTCAGCACTACTAGGGATTTTTTTTTTATGCTTGTTATGAAGAAAAGGACCAAAATACATTGAAATGACATTAAACTAAGATAAAACAATGATTATCATCATTTTTAATGGAGAAAAGTCTCACATTTGTGGGTTTCTCGGGTCTCTTGTTCAGCCATCTCGTCCATTTTTCTTTTTTTCTTATATCACTCTGTTTGGAGGGTCATGTAGCCCCAACACTTCACCCTACCACTCTATCTCAACAAGAATCAGGACACCCTACCACTAGACGGGAACACGCAGAACGGAGGGGTAGGGCTAAGTGGTAGGAGTGAGGGGTGAAATGGGATTGGACCAAAGTGTGCACAGACTCTCAGAGCCATTTTCAAAAGCAGACACAGTGCCTTTCTGACTCCTCAGGCTATTGCTCTTTCCATCTTTATATTATTATTTTATTTTGATTTTTATATTCATTTTAATTACACTTTTTATTCCTTGTTTGTTGCTTTTATTTATATAAAGCACTCTGAATGGCCTTTGTGTATGAAGTGTGCTGTATAAATAAACCCACCCTGCCAATGAAGGAAGGCTTTCACCTTCTACAGTCAGTGTGTGCACACGCTGTTGAAATAACTAGAGCTCTATCACTCCATAAATAGACAGCACAGACAACTGTGAGACATATTACATCAGGACCACCAGCCTGGCACCCCGCCAGCAGGAAAAAAATCACTTTAGGTCACTGAGCTCGTTCTCTCTTACACACGTACTCACTCTGTAGGTCCTTCACTGCTTCACTCAGCACCTCATAAACAACAACATGAACCAGGCAAATTAGCAACTAATTACAGCGTAGAGAAATCCTGTCGCGACAAATTCCCTCTCTAACTGAAAGCCGCTTGCTCTGCCATGAAGGTCTATAGAGCGCCGCCATTCAAACAGCAAGATAGCGGCAAAACATCTCATAGTTGCAGATGGAGAAACTGCTAATTGGCCTCTTTTCAACAACGTAAATAGACACACTCTCCAGAGGCCCATCCTGAGAACGTCTACGAGAGCCCGTCAGTAATTAGAACGTGAAGACTATTAGCAGTTATCTCCACATGCCGATGAGCTGTCGCTTTATGATCGTACCCTGTTCAGAGAAGTGGACGTATTTTCTGTTCTGTTTAGGTTGGGTGGGGCGGGAGGATTGACTTCATGAGACATTATAATATTCTTATTTTATTGTTAAGCTTTGTTTCAAAACAAAAAGGTTACATTCTTGAAATGACCAACAGAAAATGATCCAATCAGGATTCTTTGTGGTATTTAGGCAGATACAGCCGAGTGAGCTCTCCCATTGGTCAGGACTTCAGGAGCTGGACTGAAGGCTTTACACGTAAAATTAACTATCAACTTGATTAGGAGGTGACAGAAGAATCAACCAATCACACTTTGATTCACAGTGGGATCAATTTCAAGAAACAAACATCACTCTGGTCCTTTTGGAAGTTCTAGATACGTCACTGGCTGTGAATATGAGCTGTAGTCTAAGCAGCTTCTGGTTAGTTGTTAGGAATGGAAAACAGCAGCGGCTGCTCTACACCCGGACTCTACTGAAAGTACACCATTCAGTTGTACTGAAAGTTTACTGATAGCAATAGCCTAGCAACTGCTTGGCAACCGTTTAGTTATAGCAATTGCTTAGCAACCACGATGGACACCATAGCAACCACCTAGCAACTGCTTAGCAACTAAGACGGATGCCATAGAAACCACCTAGCAAATGTTCAGCAATCACCTAGCAGCTACTTAGCAACCAAGAGAGACACCATAGCAACAGCAACTGCTCAGTAACCACTTAGAACACCGTAGCAACCACCTAGCAACTGTTTAACAAACACCTAGAACACCATAGCAGCCACCTAGCAACTGCTTAACAAACACCTAGAACACCATAGCAACCACCTAGCAACTGCTTAGCAAACAAGACGAACACCATAGCAACTGCCTAGCAAATGCTTAGCAACCACCTAGGACATCATAGCAACTGCTTAGCAACCACCTAGCAACTGCTTCGCAAACAAGATGGACACCACAGCAACCGCTTAGCAAACAAGACGGACACCTTAGCAACTGCCTAGCAACTGCTTAGCAACCACCTAGCGACTGCTTAGCAACCATGAGACACCATAGCAATCACTATAGTAAAACTGATACATACAAGCTCAGATATATCATTGCTGTTTAATCTAGAACATTCAAAAAAAATTTACGTGCAAAAAAACAAAATAACTTCATTTAGCTAGAACCTACAGTTTAACTATGGAGGAAGTACTCAAGTCTGTTTTTAGCCTGATGAACAGCAGTGAACTCCAAATGATGAGATTAAGCTTCAGTTTTTATTCGCTGTACTGACAGACTGCAGGTCTTTTTTGTCACCCGTGGATTCAGCAGGCTTGAAGACATGCGCTCTGTGCCCGGGGAGAACGGCTGGCGTCCAGCCTGGTTTGGGCCCAAAGCCATAAGTCATTCATGGAAGGAAAGAACTGGCAGGCAGATCAGAGCGGAGAAGCTGAGTCTCGGGCGCCGTGCAGGTGCGTTCGCTGTGATAGGAGCCGAGGAGCACAGAAATAGCTAAGAAAAATCGAGTGACACCGATACAATGGAGGGCAGCGAGCCTGACAATCAATTCCTCCTGATCATGGACAGCAGTGCAGGTGAAGGAGTTTACATAGTTACTGGGGTTGGTACCACAAGGACTGGCCTTTGTCTGTCCATGTGCTACTCAGATTTGTAGCTGCTTTTGTGAGGTTGGACAAGATCTACATAACGATTAGTTTCCGGCTTAAAATGCTGCACTACCGAGCTGGACTATGTTGTGACTAATCAAAAATAAGCTGGTTGGAGAGACAGCTCAGTTATACGACACAAAACTGCATCCAGTGTAGGTATCGTGATATAAACTGAGTCTGTTCTACAGTTTCTCATTAGGCTGAATGAATAACCGACTCTAAATGTAGGTATTGTGATATAAACTGAGTCTGTTCTACAGTTTCTCATTAGGCTGAATGAATAACCGACTCTAAATGTAGGTATTGTGATATAAACTGAGTCTGTTCTACAGTTTCTCATTAGGCTGAATGAATAACCGACTCTAAATGTAGGTATTGTGATATAAACTGAGTCTGTTCTACAGTTTCTCATTAGGCTGAATGAATAACCGACTCTAAATGTAGGTATTGTGATATAAACTGAGTCTGTTCTACAGTTTCTCATTAGGCTGAATGAATAACCGACTCTAAATGTAGGTATTGTGATATAAACTGAGTCTGTTCTACAGTTTCTCATTAGGCTGAATGAATAACTGACTCTAAATGTAGGTATTGTGATATAAACTGAGTCTGTTCTACAGTTTCTCATTAGGGTGATTGAATTACTGACTCTAAACGTAGGTATTGTGATATAAACTGACTCTAAATGCGTTGCAGCTCCCGTCTTGCATTCTGAGACTGATCTGTTCGTGGAGGGACTGAGTACAAGTGCCAGGACTGTGGAGTTTCTCCATTGCTCACAGCAGAATTATCATATATACAACCTCAGGAATCTAATTCAGTGCAGAAGCACTGTCTCTCCTCATAGTTTCATCCAAATCTTCTCACAGCAACACTGTAGAACATCAGGACTCTCAAACTCAGCCCAGGAGGAAAACACCACAGTGTCGTTCAGCTCAGCACCAAGCCCTTCACCAGCTCAGTCAGGCGTGTGAGAGAGGAAATGAAACCGTGCAGCAAGCTGGGCGTCCAGGGTGGAAACACAACTTCAGGTAACATTCTGAAATGAACCCATTCATTTAGACTGACCTCAGCTGATCTGCTGGCCTTTTGTTTCTCTCCAGGTAAAACAGCTTTGTGACACGAAGGTCATAAAGCTAATACCGACCTTAATTACACAGAGTTTTCATCGTTTATGAGCAAAATATATGGCTAAATTAAGACAAAAACAGTATAAATGTAATCATGTAAACTGCAAGTTATTAATCTTAAGACTTTTAATTCAACAACTACTATGAATTATTCAGTATCTACTATGAATTATTCAGTATCTACTATGAATTATTCAGTATCTACTATTACTCAGTAACCACTAAGAATTGCTCAGTAAGTAGCAGTAGTTTATAAATGATTTATTATACAACAGTTAGCTCCTAGCACACAAGCTGATTGGTTGGGAAGCGTTCTATTTTGCCATAACAGCACAGTTTTCACAAACACTGTATCACTCCGCTGAGACGCCGTTGCAGTCATTACCACTGAGCAAGCTTTTCAGTCAGCAGCTGTCGAATCAGCCAGAAATGAACCGAATAGCAATCACCAAACTAAATGGGCTGTAAGATGCTTTACAGACTGGCTGGAACAAAACAACTTTAATATTGATCGGGCAAAAATGGACAAAACTGAGCTGAACTTGATATTGCGGCAGTTTTATGGTTCAGTCTGTACTTCAAAAGGCGAGGCTTACAGCAGGCTGTGCAGCGAGTGGGCGGAGTTCGTTACTCTGACGTAGCGACAAGCCGCTCGTTAAGGAACTATAATTTGGTGAAGAAACTGCGAACATTAAAACATATTAAACGCCGCGTTCACGGCCCAGTTTATTAATTTATTACTGTATTTATTTAACTGTTGTATTAAAGCAGTAGAACACTCGAGGAGTGTGTTATCGCCAATAACGTCACGGCTATTATGTTATTTCGCGATAACACACTACCTCTCGTTTCTATTGCTTAAGTAACTACTATGAATTATTCAGTATCTACTATTAGTCAGTAACCACTGCGAATTGCTCAGAAAGTAGCAGTTTATAAATTATTTAGTAACTACTATGAATTATTGTGTAACCACCATAAATGGTTTAGTAACTGCTATGAATTATTCAGTAGCTACTAGAAATTATTAAGTATCTACTATGACTTGCTCAGTAACTACTATGAATCATTCCGTATTGGCTATGATTTAAAATAAATGTCACAGTGGTACATTTAGATTTGGAAAGATTTCCCAGCCAGAGTAGCTGTGTCTCCAGTAGCTGCTGACTGTCAGGGGAAGAGAGTTTATTTTTGATCTCTGGGGAATGTAGTAGCAGCAGCTGAGCGAGTAAAAGTTTACGGAAACACACATTGTTACCTGTCCGCGGGCCACAGTTTCTGTTCCAGCCTGTTGCTGATGGAAAGTGTGACTGATATTTCATCATACGTCCTTTGCAGGGAAGGGTTGCACTGACCCCCACATGCTCTCCACCACTCTCTCTGGGACTCATTATAAGGGCAGACGGCAGAGCCATCCTCTCTCCTCTCCTTCTGACGTTTCCTCTGCCCTGATCCACCACTTTACATTTCTATTAAACTTTAAGAACCTTCACCTCTACCATAACCTCAGCTCTGACTATGCTCGGCCTGGGTCGCGCCGCAAAGACACCTCAGATTAGATGGGGTGGTTTCAAGGTTCCTACTGAAGAGTTACCGGCCTGATTTTTATAAAGTTTTATCCAACTTTCCAACTCTGTAGTGAGACTGTGAAAAGCTGTTCCGGTTACTTTCGCTGGTATCCATGGTGATTAGACGGAGCCTATGAAAACGAATTAGCACAAATTCTTCTTGGAAGAAACTAGTGCCTTCTGTGAAAGATCGAACTACACAGATTTACAGCTTCATTTAAAATCACTCTTAACTGATGAATTAAGGGTGCAGTGTGTAAGATTTAGGGGGAACTATTAGCAGAAATGGAATACAATGTTTTCATTAGTGTATAATCACCTCTAACTACATTTGGAAACAGAGACTGCTGCCACCATGTTTCTACAGTAGCCCAGAAGGGACAAACCAAACACTGGCTCTAGAGGGCGCCTTTCACTTTTTTTGCTGCTTGAATTCACTGGCGCTGTAGCTCCCGTTGGAAGATGTAGAAAGAAGAAGAATCAGTGGTTGCTGCCGGTGCTGCTGACCATTTTGCGTTGTGAGAAGTTTGAGAACCCAAATTTTGGCAAATGGAGAATCAAACTTATTTAGCACAAGAAAAAGTGAGGGAGGGTGAAGAAGCAAAATGAAATCGGGACAAGCGACGGCAGAACACCTGATGGCCCCCAAAGGTTATACTACACGCTTGGAAAGGGAGGAATGAGGGAGGAGGTTCAGCTGGTTGTAATGCCACTGAATTCTACACACTGCACCTTTAATGAAAGTATGTTTCTTTGTTTACTGACGCAATTCTGCAATTGCCTGTTGGCTTCTATTATTAGCAAGCTTTGAGTCTTTGAGATTTCTGTTCTACAGAGACGTGTTGAAGTAATGTCTGAGGTAATCAACAGTACACTACAAAAAAAAAACACTGGAGTATTCAGTTCATTTGATGGTATGATGATTAATATGATCAGGAACAAAGTTTGAAAGATAGTTGTGTGGGAAGGTCTTACCTGCACATTCAGGATTATCCTCATTGAAGTTTACCGCAAAGTCGTGTGAAACCTGGATAAAAAAAGAACATTACATACAGTGTTGATATTCCTCGTGCGTTCAGAAATTTTTTTAATGTAAAATCCTGAAAATAAAGACGCCAAAGAGGGTTCTTTACACGACGCCATAAAAGAACCACTTTTAGTTCCCTAAAAGAAAATATACTTAAAGAAAATATGATGCGCACGTGAAGAACCTAAAGTTAAAAGATCCCCCACATCTGGTAAAGCTTCTAGAAAAAAAACTTAACCTGGTATAGAACCTTTAGTAGTCACCAGTCTTCCTTCTGGAGATCTACCTTCCTGAAGACCTCAGCGCCGACCCTAATCAGCCCCACCTGAGCCATTAATTACAGAAGTACTTAAATAGCTGAAGGATGATCGAAGATGAAGGTAGATCTCCAGGAAAATGGGCTGGTGACCACTGCAGGTTATTTGAACCTTTTAAAAGGTTCTTCACTCACAGATCTCTTTTTCAAAAATGGTTCTTTGGAGAACAAAAAGTGGAATCAGTCAAAGTGGCAGCTTTTTAAAAAAATGTACCTACCACTTTGAGGGTTCCTCTTAGAACCCTTAATGTTCTTCACACTTTCACATCTCATTTACAGAAATGGTTCTCTAAAGAACCATTCACTGAAAGGTTTTTAGGGAACCAAAATTGGTTCTTCAATGGCATCATGCAAAGAATCCATTTTGGCACCTTTTCAGAGTGTACTCATATTTGAGGACTAGATACAACAAAACACAACAAAATTAACTTGTTTTAACAAACATTATGTAAATTTTACATGTAATTTTACATCTTTTTTTTTACAAAATATTCAATGTAAATGACACAATTTACAATTTTTCTCCAAGTTTTGTGCCACAGCTGTCAGCAACCTTCAGTAGAGAGTCTAAGTCTGTGAGGTGCTAATTTTACCAGGCATTTTTCAATTTCACTTTCCAGCTCCGTCTGCTGAGCGAACGCTCCCAGTCTGGGATTAAAGCGCATTATCTGGCGCACAGAGACGGCTGAGGGTTCTAATATCAGTTCAGGTGAATGTAGCCATAATGCAGTCAGGAGCATCTCTCGGCATCAGCGTTATTAAATTCAGGAAGCCACCTGTGCCTCCGCACCACCAGCGTGCTGGAAATTACCTTGAAGTCGGGAGGTATCCGAGCGCCGAAGCCGAAGGCCGGAAACATTTTATCACTGTGGGGAAGCCAGACAGACGAGAGATTAGAGCAGGACAGCACTCTGGGGGGGTTCAAGGTGCTCGTGGGGGAGTGGGGGGTTATTAGATTTCACATTATCATCTGCTGTCCCAAATGGCATCATTTGTATCCCAGATAGATTTACATAATTGTTTATTTAGTGCCTGCAGAATAAAGAATAAGGGGCCTTCATCATCATTCAAGGTTCTGAAGGTGGTGATTCAACATTGTAACAGATTATATAGAATAATACTGAATAAAGTATGCACTCGTTTTTTTCCTCAAAATAGAATTTGCAGGCTACTTACAAAATGTAAATTCTATTATTGTTCAATTTCGATATTTGACGTCTGATTGGACAGAGAAGGGAAATGAGGTCACAGGGACTAATTTTTTTGCAGCTACTGTGATTTTCACACTTCTTAACTCCTAAATATGTCCCTTTTGGCGCAGTTCAGTTTGCACACAGTCCTCAGATCACTGCAGGATGATAAAGTCACTTCCATTTCAGTCCAGCTAACCCGACTGATGAGCTGAAATTGAGCTCCTAATCGACATCTGCTGATCCATTTCAGACACGATTAATTTAATTCACAGCTTATCTGCTGAGTGAACTGACTGCTGAGTGAACTGACTGCTGAGTGAACTGACTGCTGAGTGAACTGACTGCTGAGTGAACTGACTCTGCTCCAAGGCCGCTTTAAAGATGATACCCGAAAACCTGTAGCCAGATTCCCGAAGGATATAGGTCATCAGAAGACGGTCAGTATCACTCAAGCTCTCCTCAGACAGCTCAGATGATCTCAGCTCTGTGAGAAGCTTCTGCTGATTCTTCACGATCTCATCCCAACAAAATCTGCACTGCTGTAGTTTTATATGAATAATTTCTGACTCAAGTGGAGAAACGATGTGAAGTGCGGATTCTAAACTTTCAATCCTGACCACATTTGTGTTTGTGAATAGAAGAGGAGATCTGTATGATGAGTGTTTTGCAGACTTACTGTTTTTGCTACATTTTTGTCATTTGTGTCGAAGAGAAAAAAGTCGATACAGAATGTAAACAGGTATTTCTATGAAAAAACTCAAGCAAAAATGTCTAATTCATCTATGCAAAATTTAAACATTTTTCTCCTACTTGGTTTATAGTTTTAGACTTTTTAAAAATTTCCCCAATCCGATTCTAATTCACATCTTAAATATTGAGTTTACTAAAGTATAACTGTTACGCAGTTATTTTTGAAAGGCGTGTATATTTAAGTGTAAACATCGGTTTATTTATTTTTATACAAGTCTTTAATGATTGCTTACTTTTCTGAACCAGTATTTCTTTGTATTAGTTTTATATTAGTTTTATATTTGAAAATATTTTCTTTTTTCATTTAGATGCTATCTATATTTACTGTTACAATTTGGCCAAGCATTATACAAAAAAAGAGTAAAAATACAGTTATGACAGTAAAGGTCTAACAAAGAAAATAAATAAGACCAAAAAATATTATTAAAACAACACATAAGACAAATAAAAATTAGTTAACTTTAAGACAAATAAGATTAACTATTCAAAACAAATTAAAATTATAAGGCACATGAGTAAGAAAAATGAATCAATAAAACTAGGTAGGGTACGAGGCAATATAATACAGATAAACTACTTTTGTGTTAAATACTTACAGAAAGTTTATCACTGCTGGCGGAACAAAACCTTGTATCTCCATTTTTGTTGGTTACGTTTTTGACATAATTTGAAAATACGCTTTGTCACATTGTGTGTAAATTTCATGATGAATGGACCAAAAGAAACAGCCCAAAATTTCTTGGAAAAAATTCTGGTTCCATTGACTTACAGTAACAGTAAAGTACGTTTTTTCCTTCTCCTGTGAAGTTACTATTCTGGAGATATGAGGTTTTGTTCCGACAGCTGTGATATGTTTTGGAGAGTTTAGCTCGTTATTGTTGAAATTTCATTTTTCAGTCGTTTTCAAAACTATTAGTGTGAAATGTTGACCCTCATTACAGTGTAAAGCGAATGCACAGCAAGACCGACAATACTAACACCTCTAAGACTTCTAAGGGTTAATAAACCAAAGATGTTGAAGATCTGAACTCAGAGATTTCCAAGAAGCTTGAGGTAATCAGAGCCTCATCAGCGGAGAGCACTGGGGCTATGCTGCTAAAATCACTCACGGTCACTCGTGAAAGGGTCAGTGTCCAGCTCTCACTCATCCGCAGCTTCTGATCTTCATCGACTCTACACAATCTAATCTCACATCGTCCATGACCTCACAGCGACCTTCAGATGACCTGAAAGATCTTCAGGACGGATCAATAGATGGAGGAGCAGAGTGCGGAGATGAGCAGCCCTGACCCCTCACAGCTGCAGCTGCACTGTTGCAAAAGTTTGGGCGCCCTAGTCAAATTCCATGCTGTTGTTGATTTTCTGAGTGTAAATAAGTGACACATCCTCTACGGAGACACGTTTCTGCATGTTTTAATACACAGTTATTGGTTATTGTTTTGAATTTAATATAGAGGAAAATATAAAAAAGATGTGGCCTGGGGCATATTCAATATTTATAAATATACATTCAGTATTTATCAATATAATAAAACGATGAACGCTCTGAGCTGTTGGAGCTTCAATGCTGACGAAACTCACGCTGGACAGTTACGACAAATTCACTCTTATTGAAGTGGAGAACGCAGAACGCTTTCTGCTCAGGGGTCTCATCTCCTCTCAGACTGAAGGGAACCATCTCCCGGTGATGGTCAGAAACTCTCTCTCAATTGGATTGTGATTGGTTCCTTGGCGCCTCACAGTTGGAAAAATATGGCGCTTTGAAATTGGATGAATCTTTTTGAATCACCCTGTACTATGGTACATTATACTATGGTATACTACACTATGGTACATTATATTATGCTATAATATAGTAAACTGTGCAATGCTACACTATGCTATGCTATACTACAGTACATTATGCTATGCTACACTATTCTGCGGTACATTATGCTATGCTATGGTACACTATACTATGATATACTATGCTATACTATGGTACCATATGATATGCTATACTATGCTACATTATGCTATACTGTGGTGCATTATACTATGCTATACCATAGTACATTATGCTATGATACATTATACTATGCTATACTATGGTACATTATGCTATGTCGTGCTATACTATGGTACATTATGCTATGCTCTGCTATACTATGCACTGCTCTTGTAGCATCCAGCAGCTGTGGTTTTGTCGTGCCAATGTTTGTCTTGTATATTTTTCATGATTTACATTTTTGAGACTAATTTTATCACAAGTTCATGTTTATGTTTGAAAGTTTTAACTTACACACGTCTTCTACTAGACTGGATTATGGAGCTCATTGTTTATGCTTATGGACATTTATTTTACTGGTTCAGTTATTAACGGTGCCAGTAAGATCACTGGCGAGCGGCAGATATCACTTTCGGGCGTCTTCGACACACAGGCATGGCGAAGGGCAAACAACATAATTAGCAGCCCCTTCTGTTCTCTCTCTGATGAATTTCACCTTTCAGGTAGAAGGAACAGACTGAAACACTCATTCACAGTATGTGCAATAAAAGCTCTCATTCATGGAGAATAATCATATCTACTTCTGTATTCATGTGTTGAATATTTCTTTTTAATTGAGCTTTTTAATCCGGCCTCTGTTGTAATGTCTTTGTTCTTACTGTTCAGTTAGCTGACTGTACCTTCTGGATTGTCTGTGACTGATTATTGTTATTAACGTTTGTTTATTGGAGTCATGCTCATATAAAACTATAAAAGTATGTTATACTATGCCATAATATACTGTTATACTATGGTACACTACTCTGTGCTATACTATACTACATTATATTATACTATGCCATTACGATACTATTGTATGCTATACTATATTATGCCATACTATACAATGTTGTTTTATGCTATGCTGTGCTATAATATAGTACACCTTTATATGCTAATACTATACAATAGTGCACTGTTATGCAATACTATGCTATTCTATGCTGTATTATGCTATGTTATAATATACTACACTATGTTATATTATGATATGTCATACTATACTATGCTACACTATACCATACTAATCTATATTATGCCATACTGTGCTACACAATGCTGTGACATACTATACCTTACTAACACACACTATACTACACCACACTAGGATATTCCATACTATATCATACTATGCCGTGCCGTACTACGCTATATTACACTATGCTATTCTATAATATACTATTCCATTATTTACTATACTATGCAACACTATTCTGTGCCATTTACTATACTATCCTATACTGTACTCTGCCATACTATAATGCTAAACTATACAAAGTCTTATTAACGGAATAATAAATATGTAACCCAAATTAGCTGTAACTGCCTGAAGTTGATGTCTTAAAGGAAAACGCACAGTTTGTTCAGAATTTATTCTGTTCCAGAGGAACAAACAGTGCTGCTGAGAACAAACGACACATTTTCATCACTGCTTTCACAGAACATTACGGCTCTAAAAGAAAATCTGAAAAGCAGAGAGAACAGGCCGCGCTGACCCCAAACAGTGGGCAGAGCGCACAGACAGCGTGCAATGTTCAAAATTCAATCTTTATTAATTACTGATGAATCTTCATTAAGCTCATTTAACAGCTGTAATAGTCTAGAAAAAGACGCTTTTAATTCATTTATTTTTAATTTATTAATGCACTTGTAATTGTAAACAAAGCCTGAACCACATTTAGCAGCTGAGACCCAAATGACTCACAGGGTAACATTTTAAAAAAGAAAACTCAAGCAAAACGCACCCTTTTAATCGATCAATCCTCATTAGGCTCATTCAAAGCTGTGATAAACTATAAATCATCTTTTTAGTTCCATTTACTTGCATTTTAAATGAATCAATAAGCTTGTAATTGTAAACAAGCTCAAAACCTAATTTTATATCATAGCAGATGCAGCATGTGAGGCGACGGGCTCTTAAAATCAAAACTTGCGTTGGCGAAAAGGTTGACTTTTTTAAGTTTATTAAATCTTCATAAGGCAGATATAACTCTGTGATAAACTACAAAGTTTTACGTTTTAATGAATTGCTTTTTAGTTAATTAACATGTTTATAATTAAGCAGAAGAACACTTGAGGTTGTGTGTTATCGGGAATAACACCACAGCTGTGATGTGATCTATGGCGACCAAATCACAGCAGTGATGTTATTCATGAAAACACGTTCTTTTGCTTTTGTACAACAGAATTTACAAAATAAACAAAATATGTCAAAGAAGCCCTGAATTTCATACTAAATATGCTTTAACACTGACAATACCCTCCGCCAAAAAGTAGTTCCACAACAAATGAGTTGTTGCTATGCAACAGTAACAGTTCCCCACCTTGTTGAGCCCTGTGCGCAGTCCAGGATAGCTGCTGATACTGTAAGGCTCAGCTTTTGTGGTACAGATAGAGCCACAGAACTAGAAATATCAGGTTCAGCTCAGCTTTTTGAACTATTACCAAATTACCCTCAGTGTCATTTTGTAACAGCCAGTCTGTGCTGTGCTGTTGGCTCACCTGTCGTAATCCTGGCAGATCTCCCCGACGGCGACTAAGGCTTTCAGGTACTCGTTGGGCTGGTAGGGGTGGATGTAGTGCAGAGAGCAGCTGTTGCGCGGGTCCCCATTAGACGCAGTGAAATCAATCGCTACCTGCAAAACACACACAGCAAAGCCATCAGCCTTCCAGCTCTTCACTCTCTCAGCCTCAGACTTTCACTCGTTATGTGTTCTGTCAGACACTTTACACTGTTAATGAGAGCAGCGATTAACTTTAAGGGCTTTCATCAAACATCTGAAACTGGTAGTGCTGATCTAAGACCAGATTCCTCCTCCACACACTGAGAGCAAGTTATGTTTTTGTCGTTCAACATTGGCATCCAGACAAACCTCAGACCCTCTGTTTGGAAAAATGATCAAAAACAGCCCCATCAGAGAACTACCACTCTAATCTGTAATGTCTTCTGGGTTTCTCAAACGCTAGAGGGCGCTCCTGAGAACTGAATGGGTTGATATGGAGCATTTGGGTAAAATCATAGTTTATAAATGCTTAAATATTTTAATATAAAATAATACATTCATTTCCTGAACACAGAACAGTATAAAACATTTTAACACTGCTGTTATATTTTTAAGAGCTTGTAAACTCGAGTTATAGGAGTTTAAAACTGTGCCTCATGTACGTTCATGACATTACTGAGTATGAACAGCCAATGAGCTGCTTCGCTCGCCAACAAATCAGCTCTCAGGAGCAGTAATGTTAGCATCCTGCTGCCCAAAACCCGTTTTGGGGATCTGGAGACCTCTCTGGTGGAAATGTGTAACTACACTCAACATTCTGTAGTTTGGGTTGTGCTTTGGACGCTTTCACAGAGCAGATGGATCTGATGACTGAAAAAAGTGAACTCAGTCAGAACTTGGTGAGGGACGCTACAGAAAAAACTATGAATTTTATGAATTTCACATGAATGAAACACTTGTAGTAGTTATGTGTGGTAACTTCAAAAAATGTGTTATCACGAAAAAATATGCGACCTTGTGAAAACTTTCATGCGTGAAACTGTAATTAACTGTTAACACTTTAATGTTAAGTAATTACTGTTTAAAGTCAAATACTGTCACATATATTGCACATGTGAAGTGTGCCATCATATCTTCATCAGTATAATGTTGATTCTAAGATCTAAACATCAAGCCAGAGCTTTTTGTGCTGTTAATGGAATAAACTGACTCTAATGCAGTTCGCATGGAGCATCGAGCATATTGATGAGTAAGAACCTGTTTTTGTTTAAACTGAGTGGGCTGACAACTTATGTTCTTAACTAGAACCAGGCTGGTCAGCTAGCTAACAGGCTAAAAGAGCCAACAGCCTAAACACCTCCATCATTAATATCACAGGCCTGAATTAAAGCACTTACGGTATGATTAACTGTAAAACTGCAGTATAAAAGACTAAAAATGTCACCTGAAAGTTTTACGCACTTCAAATGTTCGTGTTTCAGTCAGAGGTCACGCCAAACCCAGACTGAATCCCAAACGGCTCTGTACTCCCTAACTAGTGTTCTAGATATGAAAGTTTAGAAATTCTAGCCTCTACAGCCAAACAGTGCATCATGTATCGAGTGTGGATGAGTCTGAGTCCCAAATGACTGTTTCTTAGCTGTATTTTGCTCTGTTGGGCTGCAGGATCCAGTATTTAAACTCCTACGTAGTGCACTATGTAGGGAGCAGGGAGCCGTTTGAGATTCAGCCCCAGTGTGAGAGGAGGGGCTGGACTGGTGCTAAATAAGACTTGGTGGTGATTTGGTGACCAAAAAGTACTTATAAAGTGAAGTTTCTGCATTAAACAGTGCTGTGATATCAAATGTTCACTGTTATACGACAGAAAGATCATGAAATGACCGCAGTGCACAGCGATGGGCAACCGAACGTTCTTCTCATTCAGTGGTCCATGGTGGCTCGGCAACAAAACAGTACTCTAAAGGAACTACATTTCTTGGTGGAATACTTGTTAATGTCAATTATTATTAATAATAACCTCAAATATTTTCAGAAAAATTGTGTATTTTATCATATTTTAAGTTGGCTGCTGCTTTATAAAAACAATAAGCCACGTGAGGCTGTGCGCTACAGTGATTTTATCACGGGTAAAGGTGTTCTTAGGCACGACGCGACAGATAAAATCGCAGTAACGCACAGCCTCTCATGGCTTATTGCTTTAATATTTTGTGTTTATTTATTGATAAATTATCCATGTTTGGTGCTGCAGTTACAATAATTGAATTAACATTAAAACTAAATGGATAAACACAGCCTAATTAAAGAAGTGGAACTGTGTAAGATTTTGCATAAACAGGGCTCATTTCAGCAGAGGAGTCTTGCAGGCACGGATAATAAGAGATGATTATACAAAAATGTAAGTGTAAAACCTGCCATGTGAAAATAATGGCTTTTTAATATTCCTCAGGTGATTTAATCAGACGACACACAAAAAACAAACAAAAAAATCCAAACACTCAGCAATCATCACACAACAGCCGACCGTACTGACATTTCCCTTCAGCACTGCTATTAGTGTCACATCCGTAACGCACAGAATGATCTGTGTGTTTCATCATGTGCAGCAGTCGCTCACACGAACAGCTACTGCTGAACACGCTGATAGCGTTTAATTGTAGAGGGCACAAAAATACAAACATCATAATCAGCTTTTACTGCGTAATTACACTTAAGATCTGGTGCTACACGGCAGGTAAACAGTGCTGAACTGCTGTGAAACGGGAGGTTTTTCTGTTTACTCACAGTGAACTGGATCTGGCAGCCACCCATGATGTAGTCGAGGAACGAGTGCATCTTTATAATCTGGGAATAAAAGAGCAGATCATGGTGTAAACAGAGGACCCGCTGTATGACCATCTGTAGATTTGGAAATACTGTGTATTAACAGGCACTAATAAACAGCAACTTAATCATTACCTGATCCTTTGTTGACGGATAATAACTTTATAATATTTGCCTATGCATTATTAAATAGTACCATTTAATTTATTAAACATAAATGACTCTATAAATGATACAACTGCAAATATTTACTTAGCTGCATAAAAAGAGTTTACATCCTGTTTCAAATGACTGTTATTTACTATCTTGCTACTTTGTAAGGCATAGATTATTTCTTAATGCTTAGTTAATAATTATTAAGTGTTTCATATATGCTTATTTTATAGCTGCAACATGTGTAAAATATATGTATAAAGATATAACTATTACTCTTAAATAGTACATGTATGAAAAGCTTTATATATATATATACATCTAATTCAATATATAATTGAATATATGATTCAAATGGTAGCACTTACTAATGCAAATAATTAAGTAAGGTATGTAATAATGTATGTAATTGTGAAAAAAATGCATAATTATTAACTATAATTAACAAGCTCCGATTTCACATGCTGGTCCATTTTACTGACCAGTGTGGACATGCATGCTCACCAAAACTACTATTGAGCAGATTTTAATCAGTTAAAGCCTCAGAGAGCCTAAATCTGTGTTTTCTTTCTAAGTAAGCTAATCTTGCTTACGCAAAGTATGTCCTGTCCAGTGTTCGCTAAATGATAGATGTGCTTTGCCAGCTCCTCTCAGTGTAAACTGGACGATCCTAATCTTGGTTAACGCGTACATAAGCACTATTTTTAGCCAGTCACAAGGCTGATGTGGGTTTGCCCAGATTTAACAAATTTAACAAAACAATAAAGTATGTGGACACTCCAGATTATTGAGTTCAGGTGTTTCAGACACATCCTTTGCTAACTGGTGGATAAAATCAAGCACAGCCACCTCTGCCACAAGTCAGTTTGAAATTTCTACCTGCTAGATCTGCCACAGACAACTGTACGTGAAAACTCACAAAGTGGGCCGCAGAGTGCTGAAATTGTCTGTGCTCTGTTGTATCACTCACTACAGAGCTGCAAACTGCTTCTGGAAGAAACACCAACACAAGAACTGTGTATCGAGAGCTTCATGAAATGGGTTTCTATGGCCGGGCAGCTGCACACAAGCCTAAGATCACTATGTGCAACGCCAAGTGTCGGCTGGAGGGGTGTAAAGCGCCAACACTGGACTCTGGAGTGTTCTCTGGAGTGATGAATCACACTTTACTATGTCAGTCTGATGATGAATCTGGGTTTGGTGGATACCAGGAGAACATTACCTATTAGAATGCACAGTGCCAACAGTACAGTTTGGTGGAGGTATAATGGGCTGGGGCTGTTTTTCAGGCCCCTTAGTTCCAGTGAAGGGTGATGTTGATGCTACAGCACAAAGACATTTTAAACAATTTCATGCTTCCAACTTTGTGTGAACAGTTTGGGGAAGAACCTTTCCTGTTCCAGCATGACTGAGCCCCAGTGCACCAAAGCAGCTCCATAAAGGCCTGACTGGGTGAGTTTGGTGTGGAAGAACTTGACTGACCCTCACAAAGTCCTGACCTCAACCCCATCAAACACCTTTGGGATGAGCTGGAATGCAATTGTCTGACCTCACAAATGCTCTTCTGGATGAATGGACACAAACTCCCACAGACTCTCTCCAACACGTTCCAGAAGAGTGGAAGCTGTTATAGCTGCAAAGGGGGCAACTCCATATTAATGCCCAGTGGTTATGGAATGGGATGTCCAACAAGCTCATATGGGTGTAATGTATAGCTGTCCACATACTTTGGGCCTTTCTGTGTTTGGGTCAGAAAAACTCACTGAGAGAAAGCTAACCACCAAGCGAAATCTAACCTAGCAAGCATAACCGTCCATGCCAGCATTCCCAGGACGCAGATCCAGCAGTAAAGAGAAAAAGAACCTTCTTTATGGTTCTGGATATAAAAACCGGATGATGTTTTTAATGAGTGAACGCTGATTCTGGTTTTTGTTTAGTTCTGATTCAGTGCTGCAGAAGGCTGGGAGGGCTGTCAATCATCTATGCTCATTAGAATATTAGGCCACACCCAGGCAGTTCTCAGAAAGATATTCAGGTTGTTTTCTTGTTTTTCCATTTAAACTTTGCTGGATGTTCAAAAGAACTCTCAGTTTTAGTATCATATATTTTTAATATTTATACTGTGCTCCCTGAGACTTAAAGGAGACAAAAACAAACAGCATGAATGGATCACCCTCCATACCTTAGGTTTGACAGGGTTAACCGGCTTTATTGCAGTTGAACCTGCCTCCAGTGCGCTGGGAGAACAGACCTTTCAGTTTGATGAAAACCAATCTGACTGCGGGAGCACAGCAGAATCCCCAGCGTTGAATTAACACCTTAGGCGTTCATGTATCACCATCTGGACACAAATGAACGCTGGAAAAAGAGAATTTCGCTCTGGGGGTTTTGCTGTGGGGGGTTCGGCTAAGAGGCAGCATTGCAATGCTCTGACTGAGAGGAGAACCATTTCTCCTGGACAGAAGAAAGAGCTGCAGGCTTTCCGCCAGGTTATCTTTCCATATTAAAGCCCAAAAGCCCGGTGGTGAAGGAGAGAGAGGGGCGAGTATTACCTTACACTGATTCAGAATTACAATCCCCGAGTTTCTGTAGTTCTTCTTCTTGACTTTATACTTGGGGTTTATGCATTCCCACTGGACCTGTCAGAGATAAAGAGAGAGAGCAAAACAGAAGACCAGTCAGAGAGAGCAGTCTTCCTCTTTCCTGACCGATCCTGCTCGGCTAGAACTGTCATGACGACATGCGGTGTTTTCCCCATCAAGAGGCCACGACACACACCGCATTTATGCACAATGGGCTGAGAAAAACACAATGCGGACCCTGACAATACGCCGTGATGAGGGGGCCGCGTGGCGCGTTTTAAAACAATTAGCGAATCGCGGCGCCGACGCCTGCCAAATTGAGATACCGCTGCCAGCCCTTCTGTTGCTGCACAATTAAAGCCGCAGTTAGTCCATCAGCGAGCGAGCGCTTTACTGACAGCTCTGCAGATAATGAGTCATTTTCTACCTCAAAATCATCGAAGTTCAAACCAAAGTGACAAAGTTTTAATGTCACGCTTAAAAATAAAGGTGCCACTTTGCCGAAAAAACACTTCTGGTTCCCTAAGAAGCTTTCAGTGGATGTTCTTTAGAAACTTTTTATCAGTGCAGACCAACACACAGCCCACACCGCTTTTCACGGACCAGTGGGGGGGCGGGGGGTGTCACTCAGAGACGGGGACTCAAGCGCATGTTGACCTGAAAGGAGAACCATAATAAAATGGTTAAGATGTAAACAGAGTCATTCAGAGTGGTCTGGTGTGAAACGCTCGGTTCTAGAGAAATTTACCGAGTCAGAACTGTTCACAGTGGTGGTGATAGGAACCAGACGTCCACCTCTAAAAGCTCTCTCACAGAAAGTTCCTACATGAAATGGTTATGAATTCACTGCCTGATGACTGAGACACTGTTTTAGGATAGTTTAGAGAACTTAAACTCCATTCATGGTGGAGGGATACATGCAGGGCGCTGTGAGGCAAAACAGTCCCCAAAGAAAAGTCACTGGTAACACTTTATTTTGATGGTTCACTACAGATGGTCTGCAGATGTTCTTTAACTACCTTTAAACTGTATGTCTATTAAATGCAACTTAACTTAAAGTTAAGTGTGAAAGATTCTGTTAAACCTAATCTTAGACCTAAACATAACCCTAAAAACACAAACTACACAAAACCTATAACTGCTCTTAAACCTAACCCTTACCCCAATGGTGTCGATAATCACCTGAGTATCATCAGAAGGTTTGTTAATGATTTAATTATCTGTAGATAATCTACTGGGGACCATCAAAATAAAGTGTGACCAGCTTACTATTTCAGATTTTCCACTATTTTCCATCATCAACATTCCATATAGACTCAGAAGACTCGTGTAGGTTCACTGGTGGTTCTGGACAGTAAATAAAATGTCTATATTTGTGTTGTAGTCATGGCGACCCCTGGTTCCTATCACCACCACTGTAAAGACATCTGAACCATTTCACACCAAACCACTCTGAATCTCTCTGTTTTACATCTCAAAAACTTAATTTCTGGAGAATTACAAAAAATTAGTGGAATAACCCTTTAACTGACTCATGACTCGACTCAGACTCGAGTCTTAAGTCTCTTAAATGAATCTTAATGCGATAAACAAATAAAACCTTTTGTTTCTAACCTTACGTGTGATTTTGCCTTCCAGTTTTACTACAGTTGTGCAGTGTTGGGGTTTGAGGGCTTTGCATTATGGGTATTGTAGTGAACTTGTGTTATTAATTTGGCAACCGTAGTCACCGCCGCCATGCACAATTCTGTTCTGTTTATTTTTCCTGTTGGCACTTCAGTTGTTTTTTGTTAAATAAGTGAATTTTCTGCAATCGATGCCAAGAACAACACCGCTTCCCTTCCAGCAGATATTTATTTTGCTAATTTGTGATGCATAAACTTTATTGATTATTATGAAGTGCTACTTTAAAAACCTTAACTCATCTTAAAAAAATACAAACTGTTCATTCTATCTACACTCTTAAAAAGATGGTTCTTCAAAGGTTCTTAAGTAGAAACATTAAGAGCCGTTTGCATGATTAAATGGTTCTCCGCATGCTGGAATCGTTCTTCAGATTGATGGAGATTGTGTTGTAAATGGTTCTATGTAGCACCTAAAAGGGTTCGGCTATTGTTACAATGTCAAGCTTGCACATAATAGCAGAACCCTTTTTGGTGCTTCATAGAGCCACAGCACTGCTGTCGGAAGAAAACGTCATATCTCCAAAATGGTAACTTTACAGGAGAAGCAAAAAACATACCTTACTTTCAATGTAAGTCAATAGAACCAGAATTTTTTCCAAGTAATTTTGGGTCGTTTCTTTTGGTCCATTCATCATGAAATTTATACTCAATGTAAAGAACAACAAGCATTTTCTAATTATGTCAAAAACAGAAAAACGACAAAAATGGAGATACGAGGTTTTCCTCCGACAGCAGCATTAACAACACATTCTCCATCAATCTGAAGAACCGTTTCACCATGCAGAGAACCTATTAATCATGCTAATGGTTCTTCATGGTTCTATATAGAAACATTGTCCTACTTACACTAAAGAACCTTTGAAGAACCATCTCTTTCAATAGTGTACAGTAGCCATCTAGCCTGCCTGTTTCCTCCACAGTGTTTACTGTTTAGTTTGGACGTGAAGCTCATTGGACGAGTGGAAAAACTGTGCTGAAACTGCAGATTCTGCACTTTCAATCCAGACCGCATCTGTTTTAGTGAGTAGAAGATATTATATGATTTGAATCTGATGAAAAGTTATGGTTGTGTTTACAGTCTCAGTTTACAGACAGAGAGAGAGAGAGAGAGAGAGACAGAGAGAGAGAGCAGTAATGAAGATACACAGAGAGAGAGAGAGAGAGAGAGAGCAGTAATTAAGATACAGAAACAGAGAGACAGAGACACAGAGAGGGGGAGAGAGAGAGAGACAGAGACGGGGAGAGAGAGAGAAAGAGAGAGGTGGGGAGAGAGAGACAGACAGACAGAGAGAGACGGGGAGAGAGAGAGAAAGAGAGAGGCGGGGAGAGAGAGACAGGGAGAGAGAGAGAGAGAGAGAGGCGGGGAGAGAGACAGGGAGAGAGAGAGAGAGAGAGGCGGGGAGAGAGAGACAGACAGACAGAGAGAGGCAGGGAGAGAGAGACAGACAGAGAGAGACGGGGAGAGAGAGAAAAGGAAAATGAAACTGAGAAGGGTGAGAAAAAGATATTATATGATTTGAATCTGATGAAAAGTTACTGTTGTGTTTACAGTCTCAGTTTGTATAAATAAAAAAAAACATTTTTGTTGTTTTTTCTGTTTGTGAAAACAATCAGAAAGACGTCAACAAACCTGTCCATACAGAATGAAAATGTTCCTTACAGAACTGTTTAATTTCAGACAAGTAATTAATGCAGATTGAATGTCCAGCACAATTGCCATAACTCCAGATCTCTGAGGGCTGATAAAGCAGCTCTTCGTGTCTGATTTAAAGCCCACCTGCAGGACTCTATTATAGTGTATGTCTGACCGCCACACCCCAGAATCTGCACACAGGACAAACAGAGCCTTCACACATTCTTTAAACAGCAGAGACCCTCAGACTGGACGAGGTTCTGCAGCTCTCCAGCAGCTCCGGGTGTTAAAATGCATGAGAGCCAATTATAGCTGTGAAAACAGCAGGTCCATCTGAGAGAGCGCTGAACTCCACTGTAATACAATTAGAGCTGATAACCCAGCCCTGCACACACACAGAGACAGAGAGAGAGCAGTAATGAAGATACACAGAGAGAGAGAGCAGCAATGAAGATACACAGAGAGAGAGAGAGAGAGAGACACAGAGAGAGAGCAGTAATTAAGATACAGAGAAAGAGACACAGGGAGAGAGAGAGCAGTAATTAAGATACAGAGAAATAGAGAGACACAGAGAGGGGGAGAGAGAGAGAGACAGAGAGAAGGGGAGAGAGAGAAAAGGAAAACAAAACTGAGAAGTGTAAGAAAGGGAGAGAAGAGAAAGAAAAGAGAAAATGGAGAAAGAAAGTAAGAGAGAGAAAGAAGGAAGGGAGAGAGGGAGAGAATGAGAGAGAGACGGAAAGTGAGAAGGGAGAGAGAAGAGAAGGAAAAGAGAGAATAGAAACAGAGAAAGTGAGAAGGGAGAGAGAGAAGAGGAAGAGAGAGACAGAGAGAGGAGAGTGAGAGAGAAGTGAAGATGGTTCTGGTGTCTTACAGATGATCGTGTGTCTGATTATGAATGTTCTACATGTTTTACCTTCCATCACTTTCATTAGGCACGACTTTAAAAAGCTCTTATTATTACTATTATTTCAGACAGTATCACTGCCTCTCTCTCTCTCTCTCTCTCTCTCTCTCTTTCTTCCTCATGACTGATTTCTCAAGAATTAAAGCAAACGCACCAGTGCAGTCTTTAAAGAGCCCATATCCTTCATTTTCCTTTCCATTTATTTACTAATTTCTGCCTGAAGTGCACTTTCAAAGTGATGTTTTCATTCGGCAAAAACGGTCATAATTCATTTCTAGACGACCATTTTCCAACCACTGTTTATCCCTCGGAATGGTTCAGATGTCTTTACAGTGGTGGTGATAGGAACCAGGGGTCGCCATGACTACAACACAAATATAGACATTTTATTTACTATCCAGAACCACCAGTGAACCTACACGAGTCTTCTGAGTTTATATGGAATGTTGATGATGGAAAATAGTGGAAAATCTGAAATAATAAGTTTTCTTTGGGGACTATTTTGCCTCACAGTGCCCTGCATGTGTCCCTCCACCATGAATGGAGTTTAAGTTCTCTAAACTATCATAAAACAGTGTCTCAGTCATCAGGCAGTGAATTCATAACCATTTCATGTAGGAACTTTCTGTGAGGGAGCTTTTAGAGGTGGACGTCTGGTTCCTATCACCACCACTGTGAACAGTTCTGACTCTGTAAGTTTCTCTAAGCTCTTAAAAAAGATGCTTCTTCAAGGGTTCTTTAGTAGAGGCAATGGTTCTATTTAGAACGATGAGCCCTATATAGAACCAATGCCTGTACTAAAGATATACAGAACTGTATGCTATAGAACCATACACAACACGTTCTTCTTGTAAAGCAATTCTGTCCAGCACCAAAAAGGGTTCTGCTACTGTTACGATGTCAAGCTTGCACCAACAGAAGAACCCTTGTTGTTGCTACACCATGAAATGGTTTTAAAAAGAACCATTCCCTTCATTGAAGAACTCTTGAAGAACCATCTGTTTTAAGAGTTTGGAACACAGCGTTTCTCACCAAACCACTGTGCATGACTTTGTTTACATCTTAACCATTTCATTATACAGAAATTTTGAAAAATCAGTGGAATCCCCCTTTAAGAAATAAACCATAAGGGATGATGTGTCTCAGCTTCTTGAGATATAATCATTATAATAATCATAAGAGCAATAAAACTCGACTATACGCTGGAGCTCTAAGGCTTTTTGGAGGTAAAGTGAGGTCATGGCCTTCTGTCCACTGAGACTGGAGTATTAAAGTGGAGGAGCTCCTGAAGAAGAGTCTGGTGGTCTCCCAAAATAAAACCACGTGAGGCTGAGATTAATGAGCAGAAAGCTTCTTCCATTCCTGCTGGTTTATGAAGTGGGAGAGCAGAAGAAGAGAACCCGTCTGGCTGCAGCTACACTGAGCTCTGCTTATATAACCTTTCATCTTTTACATCCGCTAACTCATTCAGAGCCAAACGCTCTTCCTCCCTGCTTTATAACCCAAACCTGCCACCAACTCCAAACACGTTTCTGACCGGGGGGAACCGATCAGCTCAGGGTGTTTTCAGACACTGGACCGCTCGTTCTGCGAGTTCGGCGCGTTTGGTCGAGTGTGAAAGCTGTTTCCGAATCAGGGAGTGGAACAGAGAACTGGTTTGGGTTTGTTTTCAGCCAATAATGGCGTGGCACTGCGTGTGGGGCTGTGTGATTGGCTCATTTTGTAACCTGAATGCTTTGACTTATTGTGTCACCTCCCTTTTCAAGTCCCGTGATGGTGGGAGAGGACTGCTGTGGTCAGAAAGCGCTGCTCTTCACCGCTTGAGTGTTTGTATCCAAGGAAAATAATCAAAAGCTGCAAATGGAAGAAGCTGGTACCAATTGGCAAACCTGCACACAGAAAATCGATTCACAGCTCGGATGGAATTTCTGTGTGTGTGAAAGGAAACCAGCGATAATCAGCCCTTCCCCCAAAACGATCCCAGGATCGGTCCTGGGTGCGGACTCAAGTATACAGGATAAGTGTAAAAATGTCCATAAAAGCAGCTGTTTCTGACCTGTGGATCTCATACATCTCCAAAATTTACCATAATTGTTCTGGAAAACTTCAAGTTGTATGTGTCGTCAGCACAGCCGCAAAATCTGCTTACTGCGTTCGGTTTATCAAAGCTGCAGTTTGGTTTGAAACCGCCTGCTAACTGCACTAAGCTGGTTTGCAGGCCGCAGTCAAACAACGGAACCATCAACAAGTTCCAGACAGCAGTTCAGTGATGAACACATTGCACTGTGAATTAATTAATTAGTTATTCAGTTAGTTATTTTCCACCAAAGCATTCTACAGGGGCATAATTCTACTCAAAAACAGAACCTAATAAACAGTATCAGAAAAAGTTATCAGGTGAACTCCAGCAGACTGTTATAACAGAGTAACTGTTCTAATAGTGTTTAACTGAACTGATCTGAAATAGTGTTTTGTATTCTGTTGTAATAGTGTTACTGTGTTAGAAGGGTGTAATCATGTAATAGTGTTACTGTGTTAGAAGGGTGTAATCATGTTGTAATAGTGTAACTGTGTTAGAAGGGTGTAATCATGTTGTAATAGTGTTATTCTGTTGTTATAGCGTAATAGTGGAATTTGGTGATAACCGAATTATGTTGCATTTGTGCTGCAATATGTGAGTGTTATTCTCTTGTAATAATGCAACAGAGTTGTTCTGTGGGGCAGTGTTGTTCTGTAATAATAGTTTTTGTAGAGTTAAGTAGTAACAGTGTTGTTAAGTAGTAACAGTGTTGGTCTACAGTAACAGTTGTTCTGCTGTGTTATTCTGCTGTAACAGTGTTGCTCTGTTTTAACAGTCTTGTTCTGTAGTAATAGTGTTCAATAGTACTAGTGTTCTTAAGTAGTAACCGTGTTGTTCTATAGCAAGTGTTGTTCTGCTATAACATTGTTGTTAAGTAGTAACAGTGTTGTTCCATAGTAACAGTGTTGTTCTGCTGTAACAGTGTTCTGTAGTAATAGTGTTGTTTTGTTGTAACAGTGTTACTCTGTAGCAGTGTTGTTCTGTAGTAATAGTGTTTCTGTAGTATTAGTGCTGTTAAGTAGTAACAGTGTTGTTCTATAGTAACAGTGTTGTACTGCTGTAACAGTGTTGTACTGCTGTAACAGTGTTGTACTGCTGTAACAGTGTTGCTCTATTGTAACAGTGTTGTTCTGTAGCATTAGTGTTTAACTGTAGTACTAGAGATGTTAAGTAGTAACAGTGCTGTTCTATGGTAACAGTGTTGTACTGCTGTAACAGTGTTGTACTGCTGTAACAGTGTTGCTCTATTGTAACAGTGTTGTTCTGTAGCATTAGTGTTTAACTGTAGTACTAGAGATGTTAAGTAGTAACAGTGCTGTTCTATGGTAACAGTGTTGTACTGCTGTAACAGTGTTGTACTGCTGTAACAGTGTTGCTCTATTGTAACAGTGTTGTTCTGTAGCATTAGTGTTTAACTGTAGTAATAGTGTTGTTCTGATGTAACAGTGATCTGTTGTAACAGTGTTTTTCTGTAGTAATGCTGTCATGGTGTAACAGTGTTGTTCTCTAGTAATAGTGTTGTTCAGTGGCATTCTGTTGTAACAGTGTTGTTACTGTAATTCTGTTATAAAGAACCCCCCAAACAACACTTATGAGGCATTTCTACTAATTCATACCTGCTTTGAAGGGGAGCAACCACTCACATGCAGAACTGGCTGCTCAAACTGTAAATCAAATGCAATACATTTCATTTCTACCCATTTCTTCCCTCGTGTATGTATGAGGGACAGAACCACCCATGTGTACCACGCTGTGTCGTGCTCTACTGTTTTTGACAGAATGTGTGTCTGTAAATCAGTGTGGACGTGTATCTGGCTGCAGGTGAGCCTGTTACCTGTTTTCCGTCAATCGCCCCGCGCATCTCTTTGAAGGTAGCTTCAAACTCGCCTATGAAGTCATGCTTTCCGTTGGAGTCCCAGTCCCACACAGTGCACTGATGACACAAACAAACAGAACAGGAGACACAGAGTCAAACCAAAAACACCCGGACATTATTTAACCACAGCGCTAAATCAGCCAATACAGAACCGCTCAGATAAATCCAGAGGGTTCTGATTAACTGTGCTGGAGATTTTACGCTCCCACTTTACACCTTTAATAACTGTGTAGTTACACATTAACAATACTTGCAACAGCACTGTAACTGCACTGGTGATGTATTCGGGTATGTAATAAGGGCTGCACAGACTAGTCGACTTTACTGCTCGGTGAGAAAGAGAGAGAGAGAGACAGTGACAGAGAGAGAGAGAGAGACAGTGAGAGAGAGAGAGAGAGAGACAGTGAGAGAGAGAAAGGTTTACAGACAGTAGAAGACTAATGTGAATGGATAGAGGTCCCACATCACTGCAGCTGATCAATAAAACATTAGGCGACGTTAGAGGAATAATTAAAGTTTGATATTTATATACAATATTCAAAGCGGTGATGACAGACTGATACTGACGCTCTCATGGCCAGTTCACACAGCGCGTTTGAATTCTCTGGATATCTGCTTTCGTTCCTGATTAGCAGACTTTAAACTATCGGCGCGTTCTCGCTGGCGTACTAAAAATGTCCCGAGGGCTGCGTATCGGAAATATTTAATCCCTTCTAACTGAACTAACGCAGCACGCGAAGCATGACACATAATACTGAGTCATTAATATTAGTCATAATCATCATGCAGATAAATAATATTCATATTATTTAGCAGATCTGTTGGAGCTCTATAAGGTACAGCAAAAGTTTTTTTAAGTTTTCACATATTTGTTTTTCATTACTGATGTTCGTCTTCTTTTACATTTATTTTTTATTTTTACTTTTCGTTCACTCTACTTTACATTGTATAATATTTTCCTTAACTCTAGGAAAGCGAACCAAAACAACAAAAGGTTTTTTGTGCAAAATACTGTATGTTGCAAAATATCACTGTTGCTGGAAGAAAATCTTGTATCTTTAAAACAGTAACTTTACAGGAGAGTGAAAAAACATACTTTACTTTTAATGTAAGTCAATGGAACCAGACTTTTTTCCTGAGTAATTTTGGGCTGTTTCTTTTGGTCCGTTCATCATGATGTTTTCACACAATGTAAAGGGCAACAGGCATTTTCACATTATGTCAAAAACTGAAAAATGACAAACGGCAATGTATACACTCAACGTGCACTTTAATAGGAACACCTGTACTGCTACTCATTCATACAATTATCTAATCAGCCAATCGTGTGGCAGCAGTGCATGAAATCATGCCAACATGGGTAGCAGCCTCAGGTAATGTTCATATATAAACATCAACCATCAAAATGGAGAGAAAATGTGATCTCAGTGATTTTGACCATGACGTGATTGTTGGTGCCAGACTTGAGGTGGATGGGCTACAACAGCAGAAGACCATGTCAGGTGAATTACTTGATGCAATCATGTCAACATGGACCAGAATCTCAAAGGAATGTTTCCAACATCTTGTGGAATCCACGCCTCAAAGAACTGAGGCTGTTTTGAGGGCAAAGGGAGGCCAAACCCAGTATTAGTATAATGTACCTAATAAAGTGCTTTTAATAACTGGATTTAATATAGTCTGACAACAGTGTACAGAAATATAAGATATTAAAAAATATTATTTACAGATTTATCTTTGAATTTTACTGATAATTTAGTCTCTTACATTCATAAAAATGAAACCTGTTGCAACTCATTATTAGCCACATTAGCTGTGTTTGGGTGAACTAATGCTTGAGAGAAGCTTCCCAAAAAATGCTAATGATGCTAATATCTAATAGGTAATAGGGACCAGTGATGCTAATGAGACCAAATATCCCATTTATTACATTTTACAGTGATATATTCGCACACTCCCACTATCATGTCAGTGTCACTATGAGGAATGGGGGTAGACGGGAACTGAGGGGAACAGATGGACTACAGTCGGTCACAGTACAGCTACGAAGTGCACCTGTAGGTTTGTGTTTCTGATAAAAGTAGCTAATGAGTGTAGATACAAGGTAGGTGTTTCCAATAAACTGGCCACTCAGTGCACAACCAGCTCTATACAGGAGCAAAAGCTAGACAGATAAAGGAACAGCATGAAAGTAAAAAGCCAGCAGATCCAGTCTGAGCTGGAGGCTTCACTTTCAGTTCTGGGTACTGAGGAACCCAGTGGAGATACAGTGAGATCACACTGGTGGGTTTGTGCCCTGGAGCCAGACCTGACTAGCAGACATCTGCTCTTAACATCAGAACAACAGAGACAGCTGAATCACACAGAGAGCAGAGGAGAGGCTCCATATCATCTTAGATTTAGTGTGAGGGAGTGAGAGAGGGAGAGAGAGAGAGAGAGAGAGAGAGAGAGAGAGAGAGAGAGAGAGAGAGAGAGAGAGAGAGTGAAAAAATAAAATAAACCCTACAGAGCAAATTAATGACATAATTAGTAAATCAATTAAGCAAGATTACGCTCTGTGTAGGCAGCCATCATCGGTGATTATCCAGTTTACCGTCCTCATCAACATGATCATTAGAGAATTATTATGGGCTTCTTGAGCCCAGGAGACCAAGAATCTCTCCGTGGTCTGCACATCCAAACATCATGGCCTCTTCCTACAAAACATCTGAAGAACGCTCTGTTTCTCCAAACATCTAAACACTGCTTCACGGCTTGATCATTCAAACGCTGATCCACAGTCTGATCATCCAAATAAAGCTCCGATAATCTGAACGGTGCTCCACTGTCTCACCCAAATACTGCTTCATGGTCTGATCATCCAAATGCTGATCCATAGTCATCTAACTGCTGCTTCGTGGTCTGATCATCCAAACGCTGAGCCATGGTCTGATCATCCAAACGCAGCTCCATGGTCTGATCATCTGAATATTGCTCTATGGTCTGATCATCCAAACGCAGCTCCATGGTCTGAATATATTTAAATGCTGCTCCAATCATCCAAATGCTGCTCCTTGGTCTGATCATCTAAGTGCTGCTCCACGGTCTGATCGTCCAAATGCTGCCCCATGGTCTGATCATCCAAATGCTGCTCCATGGTCTGATCATCCACATGCTGCTCCATGGTCGCATCATCTAAACGCTGCTCCATGGTCTGATCATCCAAACGCTCCTCCAATCATCTAAAAGCTGCTCCATGGTCTGATCATCCAAATGCTGCTCCATGGTCCGATCATCCGAACGATGCCCCAATCATCTAAATGCTGCTCCTTGGTCTGAACATCCAAACGCTGCTCCACGGACTGATCATCTAAATGCTGCTCCATGGTCTGATCATTGAAAAGCTGCTACTTGGTCTGATCATCCAAATGCTGCTTCAAGGTCTGAACATCCAAGTACTGCTCTATGGTCTGGTTATCCAAACGCTGCTCCAGTCATCTAAATGCTGCTCCATGGTCTGATCATCCAAACGCTGCTCCACAGACTGATCATCCAAACAGTGCTCTACAGTCTGATCATCCAAATACTGCCTCATGGTCTGATCATCCAATTGCTGCTCCATGGTCTGATCATCCAAACGCTGCTCTGTCATCTTAAAGCTGCTCCATGTTCTGATCATCTAAATACTGCTCCATGTTCTGATAATCCCAATACTGTTCCGTGGTCTGATCATCCAAACACTGTTCCATGGTCTGATCATCCAAATGCTGCCCCATGGTCTGATCATCCAAATGCTGCCCCATGGTCTGATCATCCAAATACTGCTCCATGGTCTGATCATTCAAACGCTGATCCAATCATCCAAAGGCTGCTTCATGGTCTGATCATCTAAATGCTGCTCCATTTTTTCTTTTCAGTTTCTGGACTATTCCTGGGCGTCTTATATGAGCTACGCAGCTAATATCTGTTATTAATATCAGTTCTGAAGGACAGAAGCTCTTTCTCAGTGTCAGTAATGTAATATAGAGTCAGTCAATAGTGCATCATAATAAACTGCAGAGCTGCTCTTCTGCGAGTCTGTTCTAATATGAGCAGCACTAGTCAACACTTCAGTATCTAATTTAAGCGTCCACAGCTCTCCATCATCACTCCATCAACAGAAGAGACTCTCCATCTGTCCATCTTCCCGAGCCCCCTTAAGACACAGACTTTCGTTTTTTTTTTAAACGACCTGCTGCCATTCAGGCATGAGACTCTTCCCCTCGGTTCGAGTTCACTTTCTGACAGCGGTTTAAAGAGATGTGAGAGTTTAGTGTCTTCGTTCATTCACTGTGACCTCTTTCTCCCACTGAGTCTGCCCCATATTCCTCCTTTTAAGCAGCGCATGAATAATACAGCCACAGGAAGACCACTTTTCTTTCACGACAGCCCCCCAGCTCACAGCCTCATCAAAACCCCACTGAGGGGCCTTAAATGGCATCCAAGATGCTGTGTGTGTGTTTGCGCATGTTTTTGGACATTTGCAGGACTTGGAAGGAAATTCAGAGAAAAACAGGGCTGACCTGACTTTGTAAGACACATATGTTTATGTTTATATGTATGTATGTATATATACCATCACTGTTGTGTTAAAATTTCATGACGAATGGGCCAATAGAAATCGTCCAAAATGACTTGGAATAAAACATTGTTACATTCACTTTTATTATTAGTGTGAATGTTTTTTGTTCTCTTGTAAAATTAACAACTTTTGTTCTAACAGTAGCTGTATATCTCTTTGTTTCTACACTCGTTGTCCATTTTATCAGCTCCACTGACCATATGGTTTCACTTTGTAGTTCTACAGTTACAGACTGTAGTCCATCTGTTTCTCTGCATACTTTGTCACCCTGTTCTTCAGTGGTCAGGACCCCCATGGACCCTCACAGAGCAGGTACTATTTGGGTGGTGGATCATTCTCAGCACTGCAGTAACACTGACGTGGTGGTGGTGTGTTAGTGTATGTTGTGCTGGTACGAGTGGATCAGACACAGCAGTGTCGCTGGAGTTTTTAAACACTGTGTCCACTCACTGTCCAC